GGGGGGGGGCGCCCAGGGCGGGACTTCGGTTGGGGCAGTAACAGGAGTGGAAAAAAGCCAAATTTGTCGGAGAACAAATCAGACATGCAGGCCCCGAAGCCCTGGGCTTTCGGCTATGACATTCACTGAATTCAGCTGGCATGGCTGGTACATAAACGCCACCTGCGATTTCTTAATCAACTTGGGATAAAAACAAAGATAGGAAGTGTCTGGAGGTGGTCACTTCAAACTTACCTTGAACACCACCGTACAGCGAGTTTTACGTTTAAGGCTTAAACGTTTCAGTTAACCACGTGAATTGCTGACATGCTACATTAATATTTACATCCACTCAAAATTTATATAAAATACAAGCATTTTATTTTTTTTTATTTCAACAGTATTGCTTCGAGTTACAAAATACAGCAACATCTGAAATACTGAAGGTTTCATAAAAGCAGCAATTTCTCCCCTGTTCCCAGTCTTAACTGTCCAGAAAATTACCAAAATAAAAATATTTACCATGTTACATAAGCCACAGATCTAGAAACATGACCATCAAGTCTAGGACCACGTAACTTAAACATAAATGCAAATGGCAGATCAGCATGACATTGCTGAGGGCACAGTAAGTCTCTGTGCTCTACATATTACAGTTTGTTTTTTTTTTTCCCTCCAGTCAAAAAGTAACAGTGTGATTATATAGAATAAACTTCGAAGGCAGACTGGCTTTGTGATGAACACAGCGGTGCTTCTGTCGTTAATAGTGCAGAACCACTTTGGTGACCACCGATGACCACAGCTACACACGCATGGCAAAACAAACCTGTAACAACGCGGTGATGCAAGTCTTTCATTGCAATGGCTCCATAAAGAAATATCACAAGTCTCCATACGCGTGCGTAAATACACAAGTGCTAAAACCTACAGGTGGAATTTCAACCTCTGAAATGTACACTCAGTTTATTTTGTCACAGTAGGAACTGTGTGTACTTCCTCGGGTTGAGTTTTGCTGTAATTCAATTATTTAACTATTTTTGGTCCCAATGTGCAAAAAATCCACTTGGAGCATTTTTTCCCTTCTCCCTTTCTTTCACTTGTTTGTCAAGGACAGATTGATTTTTTTTTTTTTTTTTTTTAAGTGCACAACTTTTCAAGTAGCCTATGAAAATCTATAAACAGCTTAAAATATCAAGAAGAAATTCCAAGGAAAAGCATTTTCACAATCAAAAGATAACATTCTGTACTTTTTTTTTTTAAAGACCATATAAAAAGAAATTGATAGTGTATATGTTCCTACATTTATATTAAACAAAAAGTATTCCTGTTGTATTCAAAAGTAGTTTCTCAGCATATGCAAACTGTGTATCTTCCCTTATGCAGAATTCATCAATTTAGCCTATAAAAATACAATATGGACAAGTTCTTCTCATTCCCTGACATAAGAATTCACAATTTTGAGACAAAAATTGTAAACTTTTATTACATTCAAAATACATTTCTTAAGTCTTTAGAATTTAAGTTCTGAGGTGTCAGCAGTCAGAGCTCTTGGTATACAGCAGAAGTACGTTATTGCAGAGCCTTTACACAGAAGCAGCTTTCTAAACTTAAGAGAAACTTACTGTTCCCACATATTTTTTGTTGCTACCAGGAGGAAAAGAAAGGCTTCCTGCTGTGAAAGGTCTGTGTGAACGCATTACTCAAATGAACGATCCGGCCCTGACTTCCAGTGATGCTTCGTTCCACAATCACGCGTGGCATCTGAACAAGCTGAATGGGACTTTTTTCATCCTTTAATGCCTGAGTAAGGTTTAGTATCTAAAAGAGTAAAAGCAGGTAAGGTGAGGGCACAGGAATAAAACTGTGGCTAAAAGGCTTATAAATTTAGGTGCCACTCTTAAATCAATTGTGTAGAGGACTGCGCTGTCAAATGAATCATTTAAGAGATACTCTATTGCAAGTAGAAATATTTATTTGGTAACATTATGGCACCTTACTGCTATTTGACAAACGTTCTATTCTTCTCTTGGATACTTCAGGCAATCCTCTCTGAACTTTTGGAAAATGTTAGAGACAAAAATCTAAGAGCATTTAAATTTAACACATCTCTTAAGGGCATTGCACCTTTAATGAAAAAAACCTACAAGAAAGCAATCAATATATATTTAACATAGGATCTGCCAGCAGTTGAGCTGCAAGTTATTTTCACATGAGAAGATATGAAGCCATATTATTAACCCACACCAAACCCAGTGCTAAGATCCAAATTCAGCCCTCAGCTCCCAGGAGAATGTTAACTTCCTTCCAAAACTTCAGTATTCATG